CCCTAAACCCTAAACCTTAATCTCTGACTTTTGAAGCTACAAGGTGACACCGGTGACCGGCGTCTTGGCCAAGCTCCTTTGAATGAGGCCTGCAAGTCATTGCTGTTTCTTACGAAGTTTAGGGTTTAGGGTTTAGGGTTTAGGGTTCAGGGTTTAGGGTTTAGGGTTTAGGGTTTAGGGTAATATCTCCTTGACAACCTTAAGCTCTAAACCCTAAGCCCTAAACCCTAAACCCTAAAACCCTAAAGCCCCAAAGCCCGAATCCTGCTTTCAAGATGCCCCTCCCCATGTCCTGTTGCGGCCGTTTATTCGGAAGGCCGCCATCCTGGTGTTGGATGGGGAAGTCTCAGTGCTGACACGAGAAGGCAGGCGATGCCAGGATGCTTACCCAGACTCCTTAAATGATCCAAAAAATGGATTTAGGGTTTAGGGTGTAGGATTTAGGGTTTAGGGTTTAGGGTTTAGGGTTGGAACTCCCCCAATATCAACCCATTACTATATAGGGGAAAATGGGGGATTATTAGGGGGTTCCATTTTTTTTGGATGTTTTTGGGGAGTCTGGGTAGGGGTCCTTCAAAAGGGGGGGATATAGGGGTTCTGTAGGGGTACTGTAGGGATATGGAAGGATATATAGGGTTTAGGGTTTAAAACCCTAAAACCCTAAACCGAAAACCCGTCTAGATTCTAGGAGCCTCGCGAGTTGGAGTTCGAAGGCCTCAGGAGCCTCTAAACCTCAGCCCCTAAACCCCCGTGGTTGGGATCCCCCCCCTTGCATAAAGTGCAGACATGTTTAGGGTTTAGGGTTTAGGGGTTTAGGGGTTTAGGGTTTAGGGGTTTAGGGTTAGGGTTTAGGGTTTAGGGCAGAAGTCTGAGGGGTTCAGAAAAAAACTTTGAACCTTACGAGCCCTTAGACCCTTGTAAGGAAGGCCTCAGCTCTTTAAATCCTACTCCTGGAACCTTGAACCCTAAATCCATGGCGGAATTGAGGGACCACCTGACGTGAAGGGGGAGACTTAGAGGGCCGATAAGGATTTTCGGGAGCAAATAATTCCACAACACTCCCGAGCCGCGCGCTGTGCACAAAAGAGCCGACGGGATGTTTAAAAAAACCTAAACCCAACAATATAAACCATAAATACCTGAACCCTAAACCCTGAACCCGAAACCCTAAACCTTAAACCCAATACTATGAACCCCAGAACCCTAACCCCTAAACCCTTTCACCGTTCGGCTGTCAGGCGAGGAGCTGCAGGTGCTTACCGCTGGCTGCTGCTGGAATGAGCGTGTACGGGACCCAAGCGGGATTTCCTAAAATTAGGGATATACTATATTTAAGGAATTCTATTTAAGCTACTATATGGATTTAGGGTTTGGGGTTAGGGATTACTTAGGGTTTAGGGTTTAGGGTATATCGTCACCCCAATAATGGAGAATCAAATGGAAAAGACCATGCAAAATGAAATGGACACTGTGATTATGG